CTAAGGAAACAATTTCATTTATGATAGCATTAAAAAAATAAAATACTTAGTAATCAATTTAATAAAAGTACTATAAAACCTATGATCTTAAAACCATAAAACATTATTAAAAGAAATTAAAGACCTAAATAGTTGTAAATACATCATATGTTCATAGATGAGAAGACTTAATATAGTTAAGATAGCAGTACTTCCAAAATTGACCCACAGATTCTAAACAATCACAGTCAAAATCCCTGCTAGTTTCCTTGCAGAAATTGACATGCGAATCCTAAAACTCATATGGAAATACAGGAACCCAGAATAATAAAAAATAGTCTTGAAAAAGAATAACAAAGTTGGGGGACTCATATTTCCCAATGTAAAAACTTATTACAAAACTTTAATCAAGACAGTGTGTTATTGGCATAAGGCTAGACATATAGATTAACAGAATACAATTGAGACTCCAGAAATAAACTCAGACATTTGTAGTCAATTTTTTTTTGACAAGGGTGCCAAGAGAAATTCAATGGCAAAAGAATAGTCTTTGGAACAAATGGTTCCAGTACAACTGGATATCTGCATTGGAAAGAGTGAAGTTGGATCCCTTCCTTACACCATACACAAAAGAACTCAAAACTGATCATACATCTAAATGTTAAGAATCAAAAATACCAAATTCTTAGAATAAAATATTGGAGCAAATTTTCATAATCTTAGGTTGGTAAAAATCTTCTTAGATATTACACAAAAGCAAAAGTGACAAAAGGAAAAATACATCACTGGATTTCATCAAAATTTATTTTTTTTGTGCTTCAAAGTATACAAAGGAAATTAAGTCAAACCACTGAATTGAAGAAAATATTTGCCAATCTTATATCTGATAAGGGATATGTATTTAGAATATATAAAGATCTTATACAACTCAATAATAGAAACAATAACCAAATTTAAAAAATAGAATCTAACTAGATGTTTCTTTAAAGAAGATATATAAATGATCAATAAGATCTTCACCAAAAAAATGCTCAATATCATTACCATTAGGGAAATTCAAATCAAAACCACAGTGAGATACTACAGTTGAGTCCCTCAACTTTGTTATTCTTTTTCAAGACTATTTTTTATTATTCTGGGTTCCTGTATTTCCATATGAGTTTTAGGATTCGCATGTCAATTTCTGCAAGGAAACTAGCAGGGATTTTGACTGTGATTGTTTTGAATCTGTGGGTCAATTTTGGAAGTACTGCTATCTTAACTATATTAAGTCTTCTTTATAATGGATTACTATGGCTACTATTTAAAATATGAAAAATAGCAAATGTTGGTAAGAATATAGAGAAATTGGGACCCTTCTGCATGTCTAGTGGGAATGTAAAATGATGTAGCTGCCGGAAAACCGTATGGTGGTTTCTCAAAAAATTAAACATAGAATTGACATTTGATTTAGTGATTCTACTTCTGGGTATATACACACAAAAAAATTGAAAGCAGAAACTTGCACAGATATTTGTGCACCAATGTTCATAGCAGCATTACACGCAATATTCGAAAGGTGGAAATAGCTCAGATTTCCATCAACAGATGAATGGATAACAAAATGAAGTATATCCATACAATGAAATATTATCCAGATATAAAAATAAATGAGGTATTGCTACATGCCAAGCATGGCTGAATGAAAAGTGCCAGACATAAAAGACCATATACTGTATGATTTCCTTTTTATGAAATGACCATAACAGGCAAATATATAGAGATAGAAAGTAGACAAGTGGTTTCCAGGGCTGCAGGTAAGGGAGAATGAGCAATGACTGTTATTGGGGAAAAGATTTATTTTCGAGGGGAGAAAAATGTTCTAAAATTGATTGTAGTGATGACTACGCAACTGTGGTCACACATTAAAACCCATTGAATTGTACACTTTAAATGGATATGGTATTTATTTTATGGTATTTGAGTTATATCTCAATAAAGCTTTTATAAAAATGACAGAGCCTGGATCTCTGAGAAAGGACCCAGTCCCCCACCCTCCCATACACACATGTAGGGCTTCAGGTTGATGAGGAGTGACTAAATAAGGCAAACGCAATAGTGTTGTAATGTGCAAGGAGAGAAAATGGGAGAGGTGCTTCCTTTTTCATATGGATTCATGGCAGAGTATTCTCGGAGGAGTGTCTAGTAACAACGCAAGATGACTACAGAGGAGGAGACGCGTTTAAGCAAGAAGGAATCCTGAGAGGAAATCCACCCAATCCCCACATCCTGACATACACGTGCACATGGGGAGACTGAAAAATCCCAAAGACCAGAGGGACCAAAATGATATAAGGTCCACAAAGGTGCCAAGAACACACACTGGGGAAAGGACATGCTCTTCAATAAATGGTGCTGGGAAAACTGGATATCTATATGCAGAAGGATGAAACTAGACCTCCATCTCTCACCCTATACAAAAATCAACTCGAAATGGATTAAAGACTTAAATGTAAGATCCCAAACTATAAAATTACTAAAAGTCTTAGCCATAATCTAGGCAAAGATTTTATGGCTAAGATTTCATAAGCACAGGCAACAAAAACAAAAATAGACAAATGGGTCTATGTTAAATGAAAAAGCTTCCACACAGCAAAAGAAATAACCAACAGAGTAAAGAGACAACCTGTAGAATGGGAGAAAGTGTTTGCAAACTATTCATCCAACAAGGGACTAATATCCAAAATATACAAGGAACTTCACTCAACAGCAATATATATATAAGAAAATGGGAAAAATCCGAATAGATATTTTTCAAAAGAAGACATACAAATGACTATCAGGTATATGAAAAAATGTTCAACATCACCAAACATCAGGAATAAGCAAATTAAAACCACAATGAGATATCATCACACCCAAATTAGAATGGCTATAATCAAAAAAATAACAAAGGCTAGCAAGGGAATTCATACACCGTTGGTGGGAATGTAAACTAGTACAGCCATTATGGAAAATACTATGGAGGTTCCTTAAAATACTAAAAATAGAACCACTATCCTATGATTCAGCATTCCACTACTGGGTATGTATCTAAAAGAAAGGAAATCAATATATCAAAGAGATAGCTGTACTCTCATGTTTATTGCAGCACTATTCACAAAAGCCAAGTTATGGAATCAACCCAAGTGTCTATTCCTGGATGAATAGATAAACAAAATGTGGTATATGCACAATGGAATACTATTTGACTATTAAAAAGAATGAAATCCTGTCCTATGCAGCAACATGGATGAGTCTGGAGGACATAATGTTAAGTGGAATAAGTCAGGCACAGAAAGATAAATACCACATGTTCTCACTCATATGTGGCAACTAAAAAAAATTGAGCTCATGAAAGCAGAGAGTCAAGTTGTGGTTTTTAGAAGCTGGGGAAGGTAGGAGGGAGGGGAGGATGGTGAGCGGTGGGTTAATAGATACAAAATTATAGCTAGATGGGAGGAATGAGTTCTGATGTTCTACAAGGTTAACTATAATTTATTGTATATTTTCAAAAAACTAGAAAAGAGGATTTTGAATGTTCACAGCATAAAGAAACGATAAAAGTTTGAGGTGATGTACTAATCACCATGATTTGATCATTACACATTGTATGCACATATGAAAATATCACTCTGTATCCTATAAATATGAATAATTATTAAGTGTCAACTAAAAATAAAAGGCAAAAATATAACCTGAGGAATGAAGGGCATAGTAGTACTGAAAAGGGTTTTGCAGACCTCAAGACTAGGGCGACGGATTTCAGACACAAAAGGTAGAACGTGACACAAAGCCTGGAGGAACTCATTTCTTGGTTGTTGACGCAGAGGTCACAGAAGGTGACATTTATAGACCAAAGGGAATGAGGAGTCTCAGGAGGAATCAGTGAGGACTTGTGTCCCCTACGAGAATAACCATGATGCTGTGCAAGTTACTCCTGAATTTAAATAGCATTCTGGAGAGAAAGAGAGAATAAGCATCTCAGAGATTAGAATAGACTGGATAGGAAATTCACATTTCGGACCAACTCAGTTTATATTCTGCGAAACACTGGGGTGTTACCCAAAGAATCTGAGTGCACCTAGAAGAGACTGAGTTTTAAAACCAGAAGGGTCTTTTTGGTTTACCATGAATGCAGGAGATTAATTTTTCTTTTCCTGCGATTAAGTCAAAAGTGTTGTTGGTAAGCCATTGGGTTCAGTTAGAGAGAACAGAGAACAGAGACATTACATTCTCGCATCACGGTGTCAGATGAGTAAACTTTAAGTTCCCTGCCGTCCATCAGGGAAACAGAGTCCCCGAGGAACGGTCATGAGGTGGCGTTCTTATGGCCAACCAGGCAGTCAGTTACAGGCTGACGTGCAGAAAACGAGCGTGCAATAGCGAAAAGGCAATGGCTAGAAGTCAGCATGCTTGGGATTGAGTGTGGCTACGCCACTAACTGGCTATGTGACTTTGGACAGCATGACTGAATCTCTTTTGGAACTCACATGCCTGGCTTGTGAGCGAATTGATAACTCGATAACCAGTAAGTTTTCTTCCAGAGCTAAAAGACTGATTCTCAAGTCCTACATGTCCAATGGGAACACGTCTGCCCCTTCTTGGCCAAGTTCAAATTGGTATTGTCTCCTACGAGAGAGAACCCTCTTCTCTCTCCTTGGCCAGATTTGGAAGCCGGGCTAAGTAGGGACAGCCAGACATAATTACCTGTGATGTACGGTCGGCTCTTGGTTTTGCAGCTACATCTTGCAATTAGCTCAGGATTACACACATCGCTGTGACAGACGGAACAGTAAAAGGCAGCTCTGGACAATGAAAACAAAGCAAGAATGACTTATGTGAGGCTTAATACCAAGGAGGCATTGTGCCGACTCAAGTCTTCCTCCCATGAAGTTGTATTTGCTTTAGTGATCTCTCCCCATAAAGTGATTTTTAAAAATTACCTTTTGACTTCCCTTGGAGATTCAGCAATAAAGAACCCTAATGAGTTCTTACGCAGCCTAACTTGTACCGGTGGATTTAGTATCAGACCGCTGGAAAGAGAAAATAAAAGTATAGTAACTTTTCCCTTTGATTTTGGTGGCAATATTTGGTGCTTCATCCTGTCATTACCAATGGATTCTCTAAGTTGCCGAGTTAAGAGGATTCAGTCTTCTTTTATTGCCAAACACAGAGGAAAATGTGAATTGGACTATATTTAATCCTTTGAGTGCCGCTAATTATGCTGAGAAGAGCCAAGTAGCAAGTTGACTGCTGAACAGCACATACAGCCAAGCCGAGGGGAAGTTCCTCCCTGGATTGTGTCATGAATCTGAGATGCTCCAACTAACTCAGAAAGCTAATTTAAGTTATCATATGACAAACAGGCCAAGACCACACAGTTGCCAGGCTCATGGTCATACTAGTCGTGTTCGTGTTTAGGCCACTTGCTATTAATATTTAAAATTAAATTACATTCTAATTAACCAATTGAATTAAAAATTCCTTTTATTGACATATGCAGTTTTTGAAGTTGTACGTTTCTTTGGACTTCATTTTTGTCTACTTTGGTTGCAAGATTTTTGGGAACAGAAACCATGTGAATTATTTTTACTTTTAACATGACTTGAACATTTGGATTCTCTACTCCCTTATGGTTTATGTGTTTGAAAATGCTGTCTTGTAAATTTCTATCCATGACACCCCTTGATACAGTACTCTGCTGTCACTCTAAGTTACCCACATCTCCCCATTTGTCAGGATCTCCCGCCTTTATTTTCTTTATTTCAGACCCCCAGTGTGGTGAGGTCTTTTAACTCGATAACTCCCTTCACTTCTTTTGTGGGTGATGAAAGCACTCCTCTCCTCCTTTAAAAATCATTCCTCCTTTTCCATTCGTATAGGAATGAGGTCAAGTCTTAGTTTTGGCACAGCTTGTTCTGTTGGTAGGATACTCCAGAGTTAACTTGCAAGTGTTAGAGAATCCTTGCAAAAAATTAATGTGTTTGCACAACAAAAGCTCTTCAGCTCTACGCCAAGAGTGGAACAAGACTAAATATCCATGTTCAGATACGTTACTGCTGAAGACAATGGATGATATGTTTTGAGTATTTACTGACTTATATTAATGAGTGGAATAATTGGTTTTAACTTGGACAGGAAAAGAACATGGATTTGTGGTCCCCTAAATATTAGTACTATTGGTTGGTGTTCACTAACTAGCACATGTATGCTTAGTTGTGTCTTACATAGCTCCTTTTTTTTTTTTTTTTTAAGGGAGTATGGTCCTCTGAACTCATGTTAAGTATCTAGCTATGACAGACATTGTTGCAATAATACATATATCTGATTGCATTTGAGAGAAAAAATGAATTACTTTTAGGGCTTTTCCCAAACTGACATTATTGCTTTATCTTCTCTCTACAAATCATGGCCCATTGCTCTATCAGAGAATATCTGTCACTGGAACAAACTCATTACATTATCTGACTAAGGTCAGATCCAGCTTCCTCTCTTAGCAGGTGGCAAATTATTCCCTAAGACAAATCCCCTCGTGATCATCCAGGGCTTTTGCAAGTCTTAGAGTCTATGCAAGTGTATCAATTAGAAGAGGAAATAAAAGGTGAGAAAAAGTAGATTTTCCCCGGAATTTAAATATACTTGCTTAAAGCCCAGCCATTAATATGTCCAATCTTCCTTATACCAATAGTGGCTGTGGTAGATTTAGCCCAGTATGGTGATCAGAAGCGCAGCCCCCGGAACAAGACTGTTTGAGTTCAGACCCTGGCTCTGCCACTTGGGAGTTGTGTGAGATTGGGGAAATTATTTAACTTTTCTGGGCCTCACTTTTCCTCCTCTGTGAAATGGGACTAATAGCTCCCAGTAAGATGGGACTAATAATTGTACCCATCTCACAGCATTGTTGTGAGGGTTCAAGAGTTAATGTACACAAAGTCATGAAGTAGCAATCGTGTAAGAGATTGCTATGATCAATGCTTTTGCTAAATCTGGATTTAATCCCATTGATTCACCTGACTTTTCAGTGAGAAGCCAAAGTGAAATCTGTGTTGGAGGGGGTCTTTCTTTCACTGGGAGTAGGTGTGTGCTGGTAAGCTACACTACGATCTTTCGAATCTACCTGAAATTAGTTGCTTGATAAATATTCGTGTTTTTGGTCTGTGATGTCCTATCAGTCATCTTAATAAAGTTTATGGAAAATGATATTAGAGTTGGAAAGGATCTTAAGGGTCTGTGGTTGTAGTTTCCAAGTGACAGTGAATAAACTGGCTATATCACGAAGACTTAAGAAAAACATTCTCAGGCTCCACTATTGGATATTTTGATTTTGCAAAGTCAGAAATGGGGTTTTGGAATCCATATGTCTTTAAAATTTTGCAAATAATTCTGACATATAGCCCAGGTTGTGGAAGTCCCAAGTTGTTACTAAAACTTGAGCAAATCTTGGGCCAGTTTGAAACTGAAACTGTCTGGCTTATGATTCTAAGACTACCATTTTACTCTGACCTGTGTCCAGTAGAAAGTCCATTTTTGCAGATGTTACATTCAGAGGTTTAGATTTTGAGATTGTCTTGGGCATGGCAAGATTGTTAGATAGAACTTAGCCAGCCAGGCAATATTATCTGTTATTCTTTCCTTAAATACTTGCTTTTCACAGTACTCCACTGGTTTTTTCTACTAAGATGCCTTCTACATTCTCTCAGCTTAGATCTTTTATTCTTTCTAACCTTTCATATAAAATCATTCATTCATAGTCCATCTGACATAGTTTAAAATTATTAAATTTTCAATGTTTCTCTGTAATTATAGGATTCCTGGTAATGCCAATTGTAGAACTGGAAGGGGTCTTAGAAATTCATTAACTTGACTTCCTCATTCTACAAATAAACTCTTCTTCAAGGCCACAGAGCTAGCAAATCATAGTTAGGTTCGGGATCTAGTCTGTTGATTCCAAATGAGCGTGAGTTAATTTTCTACTAAAAAGCACACATGAGGCAACATAATAGCCTTTCTTGCCCCCCCATCCCATTTAAGCCCCCACTTTTTCCTATTTTTCAGCATACTTTATCCATATAACTGCTGATTCTTTCTTTTTCCTACTTTTCCCCCATCTATGTTTTGGTACATTCTGTTTTTCTTGGATTTTCTTTTGTATTACATAATGACTTCTCTTACTTCTCATATAATCCACTTACAGGTTCTCAGGAAATGCTAGTGGTCTGGCGATGTTACCTTTTTCCTTTACCTATCCTATCGACAACAGACTTTGTCCAGTGGGCCAGTCAAAGTCCTATTTTGCCACATTTGGCAGCTTACTTTCTAAGGCTAGAGTTCGTGGGAACATTTTTTCCCAAATAATTCTACTTCATAGTATTGTTTCATGGTCAAGACTTACAAGTTCTGATAACATCATTAAGAGGAAAAGATCTGAGAAGGTGACCATTTATTCTCTGCTCCCGAGAGAGAACAGGGGTGGGGTCACCCTAGGGTGAGCATTGTGTCCCGGTCATTAGAGACAGCATGAGTGCACGACAGCGGCAGGAGCCTGGGTGTGCAGAGGCTGGCTCTCGACTAGTGGAAAAAAGCTTAGTTATGGCTGTATCTCTGGAAAAAGACTTAATTGCAAAGATTCTAATCAAAAAATCTAATACCTCTTGTATTAATCTGGATGGAACTGGAGATCATTCTTCTAAGTGAAGTATCACAAGAATGGAAAAAAAAACACCACATGTACTCACTCATTAGTTCCATTAAATTGGAACTAATTGATCAACACTTATATGCACATACGGAAATAACATTCATCGAAAATCGAGCAGGTGGGAGGGAGGAGGAAAGGATGGGTAAATTCACACCTAACTGGTAAATGCGCACTTTCTGGGGGATGGGTACACTTATAACTTTGACTCAAATGGTACAAAAGCAATTTACGTAACAAAAACATTTGACCCTTGTAATATTCTGAAATTAGAAAAAAAAAAAAAAACAAACTGAAGAGATAGGAAGCCTCATTGGTACCAGTAATCACCCTGAAAGTGGGACTTGTGTTCGATGGCTATCAGCATGATTTGCATCTTCACAAAGCAGACCCTGGAAAGGAAGACAAGGAGTTGTAAGGAAAGAAAGAAAAGCAGGGTGCTAGTCGGCAAGAATATGACTAACACTTTGTACTCTGTGCCTGGGAGAAAACCAGTATCTTAGCAGAGGCAAGAACCCCCACGTATGGAATTTTCACTTAGAAGTGAGTCCACCGCAAGTGACCGATGACCAGGGTGCCAACTGGGACAGAGATGAAATTGTCGCCCACAGACTGCAAACTTCTAAGTTGCAGGGACTCCGAGTTATTCATTCTTACATCTTCCGTGTTTGTGATGGAGCCTGGACTGCAGGGAGCCCTTGATGAACACTGTTGCTTGAAGAATGAGGAAAGGATTTTGCTGAACTTACCGGGCAACTTCAGGAAAACTCATTCCAGCAAAGTCATCTGAGAGACGCTGAGTGAAGATTTTGTTCTTCATGCCATTCAAGAAATGTCTTTTCCAGGGCTGTTTCGGAGAAATCTGGAATACACAGTTATGCCACATGAAGCCCAATGACGTGGAATATAGGATGTTATAATTCACATTGTCTATTATGCTAAGCAGCAAACTGGTCTCCATCGCATTTAGGTCAGGAAAAGGAGATTTATTCTAGTGCATAATGGAAGAATGTTAAAGAAAGGACTAAAATTCTAACATTATTTCAGCTATTTTCATTAAAGTGTTCAGGATGAGGTGAACATATCATGACTTAGTTTCATCCCAGATGGCATCTCAAGTTTTCTTACTGGAAATTAGGATTCTTCTCTATTGTCCACTCCTAATTTCGTCAAAGTAGACTGTTTTCTGAGACAGTAAAAATAATTTGGGAGAAATTACGTGGAATCTAAGTTGTCTATCTCTGGATAGTGCTGTTGAAGATTGCTTTTAAAACATTTTAGTTTTCTACTAACCATATGCTTCAAAGAAAAAAAAAGAAAATCCATGGCTTCCTCCCAGTGTCAGCACCATTCACAGGGTCAGAGAACCTGAAGTGCCAACCTGATCAACGGAAGTGACAATGAGGCAATCAAGGGCAACAGTAGGTTTCTAGGGAAACGAGAGATGTGAAAGGAGAAGGATGTCTTTTTAAAAGGCTAAAAACAGCCCAACAGGGAGACTCTTGGGAACTCATTGTTGACACGTGTGTAAGGTCCTTCTCTCGTCCTGTCCCCCCTGCTGCCGTGAGAATCGCCACCACCCCGCTCTGCGATATCAGGACGGGCTCCTTAAAGCCCAGAATCTTTCAGATGAAAGAATGGAATTTCTAAACCTTCTGGAGCATTTCTGCTGTGCAGGGTTACGACTGGCTCAGAAATTCTCCTTAGATGGTCGTCATGTGTTTTGGGAAAAACAAAACAAAAACAAACACACAAAGAAATAAACAATTCTGCCCTGCTAAAAAGCACCACCTATTTCAGGCAAATCAGTGCCCACCACCACCAACAAGATTCAGCTGAATCTCTTGCCTTTTCCGCCTTGCTTAAATTCCTCTCACGATGAGGGCTTCCCTTCTGGGGCAGTTCACACCTCTATTTACGTCTCGATTACTAAAGAAATTGGCTTAGTGCTTCTAATCCAAATGTTTCAATTTTTGGAAGAGGGTAAAAAATGAGAACCATGGAGATGAAGACGATTTCCTGAGATAGTGTTTAAAAGATCAGAAAGGAAAACAGGAGGACAAAGTGGACTTTGGATAGAAGAATCTGGAAGCTCACATAAGCCAGTTGGATGAGAGCTAATCTAAATTTAAGCTTAAGGCAGTGCTCTGAACCTAGAAACAACCAGAAATGCTTTTCAAGCTACAATTTTTCACAACGTAATCAATATAATTAAAACCCACGGCACTGGTTCAAGGCCTTTTAATCTGAGTATTCAGATGTTTTACAAACGTTAATGCTTGGAAAAATCAGGTTATGAAATGAACAACTCTCATTTTCCAGATGGGGAAACTGAGAGTCAGGGAAAGTAAGTGTCTCATACAAGAAAAACGAGACACATGGCTCAGGAGACTTGGCCATTAAAATGAAGTTAACAGTTTGTTATAGAACCTAAAACAGTAGAGCAGAGCACAGGGTTAGCAAATCTTGCCCCGATGCTGTTCAGTTTAGGGTTTCTGAAAGCAGGTTTCCAACTTCATTAAAAACAAAACAAAAATTATGGAGACCACGGATGTCTCTCAATTTCCATATTCCAAAAGTCATCTTGTGATGATAATGTCAGTTGACCATACTCAGTGAAGTGGTTACAGCTCTAAATTTAAGAAAACTATAATAGGAGTGATTTTACATCTCCACCTTGGATATTTCCATGAAGGAGGCAAAGTCTTCATATAGAGTTCTCATTCCATTCATTTTCTCCAGCCACGGAGGTTAAAATCACAGTCATCGCAACAAATATCAAAGTTCTCTGCTGCTTTCTTAGCATTCAATACAGGCAAAGACAATTCCCTTATGGGCCTTTCGCTAGGCCGGGCACACTGACCACTAGAAGAAGGTAAAAGCACGTGCCCTGTGGCAGCACCAAGGTTCATTCCCCACTGACTGCTGTGCATGTCTCTTCACCTCTATGTTGTATCTCCTCGCACTCACAGATGGAATTACAGAAGAATTCCGTTTGTCCCAGCTACCATTTTGCTGACCAGAGAGCATTTTTCACCTCTTTTGCTTTTCGTTAATAGCGTCAGAGATGGAACAGGAAAAGATGCAAACATCTGTATTGATCAGAAGAAATAAAGTGCAAGGAGAGGCCAGAAAGGAATTCAAGTGTATGAAGAAGCGAATATGGACTTGGAACTCAATGGAGATGAAGGTCCTTCTCTGGAAGGGCTTTAGACAAGGAATGCCAGGCCCAGCCACAGGTTAGAGCACCTTTCTTGGGGCATTTCATGGGAATGGTATTTGGAAGACCACATTTTGTGGTATAGAAATTTATCCCAATGATTCCTTTTAGCCTCTTACTTTGTCTCAGATGAAGGCATCAAAAAGCCTGATGTGGGAGATTGTGAGTAGATACCCAACACCGAGGGCATAGGATATAGTGGCAAAACTGGGACCCGACAATTCTAACTCTGCTGTTCACTAACATACTATATGATCAAGTTTAGTTGGCTTCACCAATCCATTGTTGGGATACCACTTGGAAATATTATTGAGGAGAAACACAACGCAATAGGTACTCACTACCTATTGAGTACCTATTGGTCACTGTTATTAGTACTGCATGGAACGTCCCTAAAATAACCTGGCAAATTAGATTTTAATTATTATTTATATCATTATTTCTATTTGATTAATATAAGCTGTTATTATTATGTCAATTATTATTTTGCATTTAATTTATATTTAAATATGTGACTTCATTAATAATGTAACCTTTATTCATATTTCTACTTTCGATAGCTCAGAGCCCCCTGCCTTTATGAATATATTTACATTCCTAACATCCTGAATTGCAATGCAGGTAGGAAGTGGAGTCATGATTTCTGTTTTGGAGATAAATACCCTTAGACAAGAGCAAGATAAATGACTACTTCAAGGCCAATGCAGGACATGGGACTTAATCTAGATCTCTCAATTTCTTCCCAGCTCACGTAAAAGTTAAATTCCATTTCTTCAGGCCCTCTTGCTCTTCTCAGTTTTTTTTTCTTAATTCTGATCCTAATATGTGCGATATGGGAAGAGAGCCAAGATTCAACATTGCTTTACAAGGCTACCTTTCTGTTTTGCTCAACAAATAGAGACGTTAGGAAGGTGCACAAGCCTGGCACCAAGCAGCCTTGGGCGATAAATCCAAGCTTTAATTCAGCAAAGCAGATAATGTTGTCTCCAGTACTCCAGTTCCAGGTGGGAATCTTTGGCAGATAAACCTGTTTCGTGGTAGAAAGTAGGTCAAGAATTAGGAATAAACATACCTCAAGAAGGCTCTTTTGGATGGATATCTTTCTTTCATTTACTTTATTTGAAACTATTTATTCTTTACTCTTGGGCATAAAAGTGGTGCCTGGGTCAATGGATGTGATAAGAACAAATGCAGTATTTGAAAGTGGTTAGCAGTCAACTGTTCCAATTTTTTAAAAAACAAAAATGGCTAGAATTGCAAAGTCAGGTCAAATGGCTTAGGTCTCTAATTCTTGCCCCAATTTATATTCGTAAGTGATTAACAATCTCAATGAGACTCCAAATTTTATCTAAGAACAGCAAAAACTTTCATTTATTGATGTGTGAGATAGCAATAAGGTTCATCTAGCGCCATGGACTAAAAGGGAAGGAGATTGAATATGCTGCAATATTACGATACCTTGTTGTGGGATTGAAGTATCTGTATGATGACTCTGGTGTTAGGGTGATAGTTCTTGATAGAGAGGACCCTACATAAACCACAAACAGGCTCATCAGTGATATGTCATATACAAACGGCTCTGTGATATAATTCAATTCGGAGTTAAATTGATGTGTAGGTAAATGTAGAAAGACTTGACGTATATAATAAAGTCCATTGTTATGTTGTTTTCTAAAAATGTTATGTCCGCTAGCATACATGAAGAGCGTTATTGTTTTAGTGACTTAGTAAACTAAATCTATGGAAAGGTCATCTCTTGGGATTAGAAAACTGTGGTCTTGTGGGAGTAGTTCTTGAGGAGGAAATAAACAGTTTCATATGCTTTAGCCATTAAACCCAAACATAATAATTACAGGATAAAACGGAGATTTACTTGCTGTCTATAGCTTAAAGTAGCTCACAAACTAATTCAGCTTTCTCATTTCACAAATTAAGAAACTAAGATCTATCTCATATTTACTGTATTATGCATGGCGCAAATTCTCAGCTGTTTCTTGTGAAACGTAGCATCACATTCAGCTATGTGTATGTATTTTGCTCTGAGAACCAGAAGTCCGTCTGGGTTAGGCATGATGCCATTGTCTTCACCATCGTAGCTGAACCTCCCTGACAGCAAGTCAAGTTCCTGCCCATTGATAGTTCACAGTTCAAGATGGTAACACTAACTCTAGCCAACCTGAAAATGCTTACCAATGCTCACAAGCACATCATACTGAACTGTGCTGGGAAAAAAAACCCAATAAATAAAGCGTGTTAACAGGGTTCACAAATTGCATCTTTATTTTTGAGGAGGAGAGTATCTTCGTGATAATGGTGCTATCTGAATAATAATCAGGTATTTGTATGCTTTCTTTTTAATTTCAGATAGCGATTATCCATGTGAAACTTTAGGGAAGCAAATGGAGAGGCACATACACACTCAGGATGCTCCGTTTTCACTTCCTTTTGCCACCAGCTGCAGCCTTGGGGTGGGGGCAAAATAATAGGCAGAAACTTGGAATATGATGAACCTAGTGCTGTAATAGATGGCATCTCCTCCTGTTTAGTCTTATGCACTAGGCTTTAAAAGAAATAGAAGAAGGTGAGCACTGGGACACACACAACGCAACGCCAGCTTCTTACCTCATGATGTTGGAAGTGTCCTCGGCGTGCGAGTCGCTGCACAGAGGGTTGGCTATGATCAGGCACGCCTCTGCGTGCTCCACCTGCTCTTCGAGATGAAACAGCGGCCGTCTTGTTAATTACATGGGAAATGCTCTAGCGTTTTCTTTTTGGGTTTTCTTATGGGTTTGTCATAAAATTGCCAGTGAAAAAGAGAACACACTTGGGAAGGAGTTGATAAGGGGGTCTTTACATCAAGATCCTAGTTCTGAAATGATGCAAGGGCTATGAGGGCTGACGCTGAGGGACCAGGACATAGGGTCTCTGACATAGATGTAAGATTGCTTTAAAACGGTAAAGTACAAGGCTGTATCTTTCCTACTATCCATCATTACCATTTTGTGCCTAGCAATGAGCAATAAGACCTTTATAAGCAACTGCCTACCTATTTATTTGCCTTTTAGGACAGCAAGGGATGGAAGAATTTGGGGGGGTCCCCTTGGGCCAAAGTAAGCAGTCATTCAATATTTGTGGATTGTGAATTTCAAAGTTCTGGAAAATTATTGAAGTGTCTCTTATAGTACCAAGTTTCAGGAAAGAGAAAGATTATGCTGGGTCTGTCATTTTCTGCTTCAACTCTTTATGTTAACTCTATAGATGTTTGCTTTAAACTAAAACCTTTCGATTTGTTGAATCTGTAAAACATAGAATATGACGGGGAGCTGGCTTTGATCTTAAATCAAACCTGTCTAGAGGGTTGGATGCTGCTCATCATTTTTAGTGACAGCTTTGATAGAATTTCTGCTATTTTCCTTTATGTTACTCCTATCAGAAGGCACATTAGTGTGTGTAGGAGGAGAAGTTGGGTAAAGCTGATGGACTCTTGGAAATCTGTCTTCCAGCAAGAATCCTGTTTGGGTGGTAAGATCAAACACACTTTTGCTATCCATAACTTTTTCAGGTCCCTTAGATTGATAAAATAAAACTGATCTAGATAAATAGAGACTTTAGTGAAATAAATCATTTAAATACAAATGTAGGTAAACAGTGAGGTCTACTTGATATTTTTCAAGGAAGATTTGGAAGTCAATTATTACATTTCCTTTATGGTTAGTTTTGAAAGTTGAGGAAGTCATATTTTCCCCCCAGTTAGAGGATTTGAAAGAATATGTTTTGAAAGAGCAATGCAGCCTATCATCTCAATGGTTGCAGCTTAGGAAAACCAACAGGAGAAAAAGAACTAGATCTTACCGCAACTCGCTTCAGATCCTCCCACTTCATCGCAGACCCACAAACAAAAGTTGTATAGGCTAAGTAGCATTTAAATATGGTCTCCAATTCCAAAGAAGGAGGGACCCTGGACAAAAGAATTTAGTAGCAAAGATATAAAAAAGTTGATTGACTCTGGGTTTAGAGATTGTTATACTTATTCAGTGCATTTAATAGAACCCCTCACAGTGATGTGAAAACATACAAATCAAGTTAATACCATTTTAAAAAAAGGATTTACTAAAGGTGAAGAAGTTTACTATATAATAAAAGCAATTAAATTACTGAAAATACATAGAATTTTAAAGCAACTATAATTTTTTAAAAATAGCTTCTAAATATATGAAGTTAAAATGGGCAAAACCAGATGAGAAATTAAATCTGCCACTGTAAGAAGAGATTTTAACACATCTCTTTCAATTATTGATAGATCAAGTGGAAAAACATATTATGGATTTTGAACATACAAGTTTGGTATTTATAAATTCTGCAAACAACACTTAAAGAATCCGATTTTTTTAAGAGCACAAAAGTATTTATCAAAATGATAATTTACTTGACCATCAAGAAAAGAAAAGCCTCAACACATTGCAAAAAATACCTATTGTACATATTATGCTCATTAATCACAATATAATTAACTTAGAA